ACATCTTTCTCCCATAGAGTGGCTAGTGGGTTCAAACTGCTGACCTTTCAGTTAGCAGCTGAGCGCTTAACCACTGAGCCACCAGGCCTTCTAAATAACATTTATTTACTGCTTCCTATATGCCAGGCTCAGCATTTTACACGCATTAGCTCATTTAATTCCTCATCACAATCCCAAAATGTCGGTGTCAGTATTATCATCCTCATTTTACAGACAAGGAAATTGAGGCTGAGAAAGAGAAGTTGGGTGACTTGTCCGAGATCTCACAGCTAAGAAGTGGTGGAGTTCATATTTGAACCCAAATCTATGTATAGCTGTGTCATGGATTGAATTGTTTCCCCCAAAATTATGTATACCAATTTGGCTAGGCCATGATTCCCAATACTGTGTGATTGTCCACCATTTTGTCATCTGATGTGATTTTCCTGTGTTGTAAATCCTATCTCTATGATGTTGATGAGATGGAATTACCAGCAGTTATGTTAATGAGGCAGGACTCAATCTACAAGATTGAACTGTGTTTTGAGCCAATCTCTTTTGAAATATAAAAGAGAGAAGTGAGCAGAGACACGGGGACCTCATACCACCAAGAAAGCAGTGCCGGGAGCAAAGCTCATCCTTTGGACCCAGGGTCCCTAAGCAGAGAAGCTCCTAGACTAGGGAAAGACTGATGACAAGGACCTTCCTCCAGACCCAACAGAGAGAGAAAGGCTTCCCCTGAAGCTGGTGCCCTGAATTCAGACTTCTAGCCTACTAGACTGTGAGAGAATAAACTTCTGATTGTCAAAGCCATCCACTTGTGGTATTTCCGTTATAGCAGCACTAGATGACTAAGACAAGCTGGCATGGATTGAATTGTATCACAGTGACGGAGGAGCACTATGGGCATTTAGTGAGTGAGAACCAGGAATAGTAGACACATCACTGTGTGTAAATCAGAAGACACAAATTAAGGACTGAAACACATTCTACATGACTTTCAAAAACCCATTCATTGTCATCTGAAATTAGACTGTTGTACAGATACATATAGAAGATTGTTGGTATAGTTTAATATATGCTGAGTTTTCTAGAAAAGCGAGTACAATGTAAATATAGGGAGGTTCATATTTTGTTCTGAGCTTTACAAGAAGTTGTTCACTGTTTAAGAAGTTGACGTATGAATGCTGTTCATGGTATTTAAGTGGCCGATACAACCTACACCTGTATCACAACAGTCTGCATTTGTCCCTGTTGCTTCTATGACAACTGTCCATACGGGTGCAGGCAACTGACAACACTGTACTTTGGGTGTGGTTGTGCTCACACATCTATACACTGAGATAGATATTATTCTATTATGTATTATTTTCCTTTAAACTTCTTGATTATATACGGTATATTATTTTTGATTACATGTGTAGATAGGTTATATAGTAACTATAATCTTCATATCAGAATAATAAAGGGTGTATTACAAAATATTTCTTATACAAAAGGGGGTACTGGATGTGATAGGAAAGTAAAACTATCCTGGTTGAATTATGCTTTTAGAGAAACCAAGTATTTAGCATCATGGGTTATAATAAAATTTAAAGAGATGAAAAACAGTATTGCTAGAACATAGAAATACTGTAAAAGAGGACACTATACATTACAGAATTACTATTTCTTTTAAAATCAAACCCTGTGTGCCTACTGGCCTGCTTGTGGCCAGCACCCAAAGTAACAAGAGATATTCTATCTAAAGGACAAAAAAAAAGTGAAGATGGACTTGGGCTCCTTTCCCCAGCCCACTGATTCTCAGATATTAATGTACATGCAAATAAACTGACATGCTTGATAAAAATAAAATTCCCAGGCCCCACCTCCAGAGATTCTGATTCAGTAGATCTGGGATGGGGCTCAGAAAGCTAAATTAGTAACAAGCATCCCCCTGAACTCTGATGCAGGTGATCTCTAGACCAGTGCTTCTCAAACTCTAATGTGCATACAAATCTCCCGGGGACCTCGTTACAGTGCAGATTCTGATTCAGTAGGTCTGGAGTAGGGCCTGGTATTCTGCATTTCTAACAAGTTCCTACATGATGCTGACGCTGCTGGTACATGGACACTTTTGTTCGTTTGGGGACAAAAAGATTCTTCTGCATGGAGTGGGCGGGTAGAGAATGCACCTTCAACATTCATGTCCCTGTCTCTGTAAAGATGACATGGGCATTACTATGACTGGATAGGGCTTTTACTGACATCTCGTCCTAATGATCAGCGAACTAAGTCTAGTGGAATGGAGTGCAACCTTGGGTCACCAAGGATGGTGGTGTGTTGGCTTCACCACAGAATATGGGAGTTTTCAGTCCTACCACACTAAGGGATTAGCCAGTACTAAAGCAACGATTCATCTGGTTCTTGGCTGCAACATGAACAACATAAGGAAAAAGTCCTAATTCAAACATTGCATCAATGACAGAGAGGCTGTGACATCTCCTTTTCACAGGAGAGAATCTATCTACATCCATGTATAATCTAGACAGTAATCCAGATATGGTCCTAACAGCATGAGGATGGAGGCCTCAGCTCAGATCCAAGTAGAAGACTATGGAGTTACTGCAAGGGGCTTTAGAATCCATGTCTATACACAAGGTTTTTATGTATATTTACTACTATTTTTCAAATGTATGTAGATATCATTAAGATAAATTTTGAAAAATCTTAAGTGTGAATAAATTCAGATTAGTATAGGACATTGTATATTTTCTCAATTAATGGATATTAAGATAATCACCTATCACTTGGGGTCTTCACAATAATTTAACATTAAAGAGAGGTCTTTATCTTCCAGAACATATGCTAGAAATGGCTTGACATAACCTGCCCCCCAGTATTTGAGAGAATAAATGATACATATACATGTATTTACAAGAAGCTATGCTCAACTTCTAAGCGACTGAATTTCTTCTTCAATAAATCAAAAAACAAAATGCTGCTGCAGAAATTAATCTCAGACATTTTAATAGATCTTATTCACTATGTGCAAGATTCTCTGAAGAAAGTAGATGGCTGCTAGCCAGGTGAACCTGAATGACACCAAAAACCAAGGGCTGCACAGGGCCACTAAATGTTGACTGTCTTGGTCAGCTTCACATCCTCCATTTCAGAAGACAGCCAGCGGTACGCGCGATGATGACGCAGCACCTCGATGGCCTTGGCTTCCAGGGGTGTTGCCTGAATGCCAAGGTCTTCTAAGCCAGGCAGGTGAGGCAATTTCATGTCTGTGAGGTGAACCTTTGAATAAACAAAGAACCACAGAGAATACTGAAAACTGGCCAAGAATAACGAATATTATCCTAACAAACATTTAAGCAGTTAACAAACATTTAAAAATTTAAAACTAACCTGAATCCTGTGGATTTGAATCTTAGAAATTGGGGTGCTGGCATATCTAAATTGGGTGATTTCAGACCTAAATTAAAAACTCCATTCTGAATTAAACTTAAGGTTTTCGTTTCTAATCTCCTTAAGAAACCATTCGGCCTTTTTGTCAAAGTTTCATTGCTTGAAAAACAGAAGGCAAGAGTCGGAATTTTTAACCTAGATAAAGAATTGCTCAGTGCCTGTTGTTTACACAGCTGGTACCAGAAAAGGTGACTTGGTCAGCTGGAGGTCAGAATATAGAACTGATACACTGAATAAAGTTAGAGACTATAAATAACTTTACAGCCAAGACAGGTATATATCAAGTCTTAATTCTACATCCTGACTCCCAAATTAAATCTTCACTCACTGGGATTTTTCCACTGTATTTCTGCTAGTTCTTTATAAATTTAAAACTACGTAGAGACTAAGTTTGTTAAACTAAGGAAGCAGATCGCAGCTATAAAAGCCTTACCTGTAAAACAAAGAGTGCAGAGATTTGAGCTTTAACTTATATAAATAAAAATTGCTATCTTAAGTGCTTTCAGGGAATTCACCCAGTGAATGCCTGGGCCCTAACTCATTCCCTCTTAGCCTCATGGGTGATGTTTACATTTCAAAAGGCTTCAGATTTAGAGCTGATTTAATCTTCACTCTTTCCTAACTAAACTGTCCATTTTACATTTCAAGGACTCCAGCTAGGTTTGACTCAGCCTGCAGTCCATCACTAAACCCCCACATCAAGAATGTTTATATGTCTAACATTAGAAATATTGCCTTAGTCAAACTGTATCAGGAAAAAGGGATTTGTTAGGCTAGAAACTGATGTTAAGAAAATTTGTAGTTTAACAACCCCTTGTAAATTTCCCCTTCCTTCCCCTGCACCCTCTGATGTAAAACCGTTTGCCCTTGTTTACTCTGGCTATTAAATACCCTGCTGTTCTCTTTGTAAGGGAGACAGTGCTGCAGTCTTTTTGAAAGCCACATTTCTCTATTTCATGAAATAAAATTATTCCTTCAATAAAATTTTTGTTTTAATTTCTATTGGATTGTCAGTCTAGTGCTTTCACTAGGACACCCCCATTACTGAGACTTAACTGCTTTCCAAGAATATGTGGCAGTTTTTGATTCCTGGGACTCCCTAAAAGTAGAACACAGAAACCCAAAACCAAACCAAACCCACTGCCATTGAATCGATTCTGTCTCATAGCAGCCCTATAGTACAGAGCAGAACTGTCCCATAAGGTTTCCAAGGCTGTAAACCTATACAGAAGCAGACCATCACATCCTTCTCCCACAGAGTAGCTGGCAGGCTTGAACCGCTGACCTCTTGGTTAGCAGCCAAGCACTTTAACCACTGCACCATCAGGGCTCTGTAGAACATACAAAGAGGGCTTAAAAAAGGAAAAGGCAAGGTCATCAAAGTTCAGATCAAAGGTGCCTGGCACTATCCATGAGCACAAGACACGGGCTCTAGACGAGCCATTCTACAGATCTAAACAGAAATAAGCCCCAAGGAGAGAAGCAGAAGTCATCAATTACATCTGCCAGAGGTGGCTTCACAGGAGGGTTCAGGAATTAAATAGAGGCTAAAGTAGAACTTCACTAGAAGAGGACATCATGTTTGGTAGAGGGTCAGCAAAAACAAAAGAAACCCTCTATGAGATGGATTAATTCGGTGGCTGCAACAATGGGCTCAAGTATACCAAAAATTGTGAGGCTGGCACAGGACTCGGCAATGTTTTATTCTGTTATACATAAGGCTGTCATGAGTTGGAGTCGACTTGACAGCAACTAACAACAACAACAAAGCAGAACTAGCCGATTCCCCAGTTCTCCCTTGTGCTTGTTCTGTGAACACAGATTTTTCTGCCTCAGTTTCTGTTGAAATATGAAGATAATATAGTACTTATTCACTGCCTATTAAAAGATAAACTGTTACCTTTTCATTCCAGCTATACTTAACCTGATTGACTAACACAGAGCTTACTATAGAGCTTAAAAACTAAATCCAAAAATCCAGGTCCCATATCATGCAAAAGTATACAAACAGAATCAATTTGCATATACAGCAGCATCAATCCCTCACCCTCCCCAACCGAGAGTCTGCAATTCTTTTAGTAGAGTGCTGTAAGGCAGTCTCCAAACTAAATTCAAAACCCATTAGCTTATTATATCAACATGTTCTCAATTACAAATGTATGAGGCACATTAGTGTAAAATAAACTGAGGCATTCTGACAATCGGTCCGTCTGCCAGATCTCTCACAAACATAGAAGGGACATCTTCAGAATGGTCTCAGGTTTCCACACAGACATTCAGAGGGGAGGATGACTGTGGCCCTCACATCTGATGCCTAAGGCCTATTTTCTCATCTTCTCTACACGTTAGCTTTTAGGTTACATTCAGAAGACAATTTGGCTGCTTCTTGCCAATATGAGGTCTACAGGTCTTCAAAGGTAGAAACAGTATAGTATTTTTATTTTACTTTGTATCTTCCATAGAAACACTTCTACATACAGTGGGCAAATGATCAATGAGGAAGACGAGTATGGAAGGCAGCAAGTAAGAAGGGAAGAGCCAGAGCTTTGGCGTTCAACACACTGTTCAGGAGAGTGGTTGAGAGAATAAGAATAGAAGCTTGGATTAGAGTGCATACAGTGGAGGCAATTATCCACCCTACTTTTGTTAGTTTCATATTTTCAATGTTATTATAATTAGAAGTTAAATAAAAAGGTAGGGACAGGGAGGACTACCAAGATTTGTCACATAGTTTGAGGACTGCCCCAATAGTACTTGGTGATGGTCTAGACCTGTGTTATCCACTACAGTAGCCACTAACCAAATGTGGCAATTTAAGTTAAATAAAATTAAAATTTTATTTCTACAGTAGTAAAAGCCACATTTCAGGTGCTCAACAGTCAGATGTTGCTAGTGGCAACATACTGGCTAGTGTTGGTTTGGATCCAGACTGGTTAAGGAAAAGAAAGAAATTGAGGGAGATTCCTAGATTTTTGGCCTGAGCAACAGAGTAAATTGAGATGAGAGAGACTAGGAGAGAAGCAGGTTTGAAGTTCTATTCATGGACATATTATGTTTCTGTCGATTCCAACTCATGGTGATCTTCTGTGTGCAGAGTAGAACTGTACTCCATAGGGTTTTTAAGACTGTGACCTTTTGGAAGCAGATCATCAGGACTTTCTTCTTCTGAGGTGCCTCTGATGAGTTCAAACTGCCAGTCTTTCAGTTAGTAGTCAAGCACTTAACTGTCTGCATCACCCAGGGACTCCTTCAGATGATTATATCCATTGCCATCCAGTCAGTTCTGACTCATAGCAACTCCATAGGACAGAGTACAACTACCGCATAGGGTTTCCAAGGCTGTAATCTTTACAGAAGCAGACTGCCACATCTTTCTCCTGCAGAGCAGTTGGTGGGTTCTAACCGCCGAACTTTTAGTTAGCAGCCGAGCACTTTAAGAGTCTGAAGCTCAGGCGGGCACAGGGGGGAATCAGGGCTAGAGATAAAACTGTGGCCATGAGCTTACAGACAGCAACTGGAGCAAGCATGGGCCTAGGGGAGGGTCATTTAGAAAATGCGTAAAGATAGAAAAGAGAAGGGCTGAGGACAGAGTCCTTAGGTACACGAACATTTAGAGATCGTGAGACTGAGAAGCATGGCCTAGTGACAGGAGGAAAAGCAAGAAAATGTAGAGTAGGCCAGAATCTAGATGGAAAGACAGGCTTTCAAGCAGGAGAGAACAGCCCCCTCTGACAAACGCCGTTCACAGATGGAGTAAACGAGGTCGGAGAACTGACTACTGAATTTGGCAGCATGGTGATCAGAGGTGGCCTTGAAGAGAGCGGTTTTAGGGGAGAGACACGAATAAAAGTCTGATTGGAATGGGTTAAAGAAAGAATGAGGGGAGAAGCCATCAGCAGCAGGTACAGACAACTCTTTGGAGGAGTTATAATGTAAAGGAACATAGATAAACAGAGCAGTAGCTAGATGGGGCATAGAATGAGAAGAAGATTTTTGCCTTTTTCAAAAATAAGGCAGCTATTAGGGTTTGCTTATATGCTGATAGGAACAGTCCAGCAGACAAAGAAAAATTGAGAAGACAATGGAGGAACAACCCTGGAGTAGGTTGAGAGTAGAGGCGACCCAGTGCACAAGTAGAGGAGCTGACCTCAGAGAGAAAAAACATCAGACAAGAGCATGAAAAAGAATCCAAGCATGCGAGCAAGCAAACACAAATGAATTCAATCTCATCCTTCTCCGCAGCTCTCTGCTTAGCATCCGCCCAAGCTGATGTGCACCACACTCCAACTCACCCGCTCCATTTTATCCCTTGTTGTCCAGGGCTCAAACGGACTTATCTCAAAGAGTCTTGCTATCAATCTGGAAAAAGGAATAAATAAGGAACATGTAAAAAGTGTCTCCATACCCAATATTTAAGCTAGCCAATAAGAACTATAGGAAGAAAGCCTCCAGTAGAAATGGGAATTTGCTGTCTTCTTCATTTTTACTTTTTTTAAGAAAATAACCAATCTTGGCACCTGTGAGGTTATTTCTGCTTATTAGTCCCTATTTCCTTTCAACCCAACCCAGCCTGACTGCTATAACATTCTCCCCACCAAAGAGACAATGAACCTTAAAGTAAAAAAATGAAACAAAACCAACAACGGCAAAACAAACAAAAGAGATCCAGTATTCAGTAAAGTCTGTGAAACTCTATTCTACCTTAAGCCCCGACATTCAAATATGCTGCTATTAATTAAGGACACGGGGCAAGCTGAGTGGTGTGCAAAATATAAAATTCAATCCCTGAGAGCAACGACCTCTAGGAACAAAAAGTAAGGAAAAGGCCAAGACCTATGACTCAAAGCAGGAAGAGAATATAAAACCCAGGACAAGAGGGGTGACCTATCTTGATCAATGCCCTCTCTTCTCTGCTAATGAAAACTGAGGGTTTTCCTTACGTGTCACCTGAATTACTGTCTTAAGTATCCTCAGGGCAGTGGGTTTTACATTAGTGTCTGAGGAATGCTAGGAATTCCTTGGGATCCCCACAGAGGAGTGAGTCAAGGAGACGGGGAAAGTGCTCTTAATATCACCCATCACTACAACCAGACCAGCTCCGCTTTTATCTGATTTACCCAGTGGGCCATTATGTAAAAATTCATTGAACACAGGGCTCCACAGTTTTTTAAAAGGCTGACAATCACCATTCCAACTGAGTGGTATAAATAAATGAAAAAGGAAGCTGAAGATTGGTCAGAATTTCTTTAGCAACATATAAAGCCTCAGATTCCAGACAACCTGTCCCAATGACAGAAAAAGGCAATTTATTGGGCTTACTATAGTTTAAACAAAAACCCTCCTTACAAACCTCCGACTCTATGCTCTGGTCCTACATTAACAGAGCCCTTCTGGCTTCTACTTTAGAGTCTTCAGTGGGCAATATGTGTTTGTATGCTGATGAAAATGATCCCATCTCTAACTCTCTGTTGTATGTACAACCATGAAAGTACCCCACTGCAATCCGGCTTACACCAGACTGAAACCACCATGGTCACCAATGACCTTATTACTAACTCCAGTGGATACTTTTTGGTCCTTTACCTTATTTGACTTTTCCGCAGCATTTTCATTTCACAATATTAACAGACTATCTACTGTGTGCCAGGCACTGTTCCAGGTACTGGAATACAGCTGTTAACAGAACAGCAATGCCCTCCTTTTCTCTCTTTTTAACTTTATTTTGTTGTTGTTGAGAATATACACAGCAAAATCAGATACCAATTCAACCGTTGCTACACGTACAATTCAGTGACACTGACTACCTTCCTCAAGTTGTACAACCATTCTCACTCCTTTTCTGAGTTGTTCCTCCTCCATTAACATAAACTCACTGCAACTCATTGCCCCCCTCAAGGTCCTATCCAATCTTTCAAGTTGCTGTCATCACTTTGATCCCATACAGATAGTTCTTAAAAGAGTACAATGCTCAAGGCAGACACTTTTTACCAGTTAAGCTAAAACTACTGTTTGGTTTTAAGAAGACTTCAGGGGATATTTTTGGTTTAAGTTTAAAAGATTTTTTCAGGGCAATAGTTTCAGGGGTTCATCCAGCCCCCTTGGCTCGAGAAAGTCTAGAGTCCACAAGAATTTGAAATTCTGTTCTGCATTTTCCCCCCTTTGATCAGGATTCTTCTACAGAATCTTTGATCAAAATGTCCAGTAATGGTAACACCCTCCTTCTTAAAACAGCCGTCCCTCCTTAAATCACTCCCTTCCCTTTGGTATCTAGACTCCCAAACTCTCTTCATTTTCCATGTCAATGCCTGACCACTCTTTTCCAGCCTCTTTGATAAGTTTCTCTTACTCTGCTGACCCTTTAAATGGCAGTATTCATCACGATTCTGTCCTCAGTCCTCCTCTCTCACTCACCCTATAAACACATCTACACCCCTGGCCTCAATTACCATCTGTGTGCTGATGACGTCCAAATCATTCTCTGCAGCCCAGACGTGCCTCCCTGAGCTCTAGACCAGGACCTCTACCCAGTGGACGTCTCCAATGTGTCACAGGTATACGAAACTCAACATCTTTAAAACATAACCCATCAGCTTCCCCAAAAACATTCTTTCTCCTTTGTGTACCCGCTATCTTTTTACTGAGTACAGAGATCAAGAGGATGACTTCTGGAGCCAAGCTGCCTTAGGTGAAATCCATGCTTATGAAGTAAGTAATATCTGGCAAGTTAACCTCTCTGAGCCTCAGTCTCCGCTCAATTTCAAAAGAACAATTCTAAGTTAACCTATCTGTAAAATAAAAATAATAATGGTACTTACACAGTTGATATGGTGAACAAATTGGACAATGCAGGTAAAGGGCCTGTAACAGTGGTTGCCACTGAGGAGGCACTCAATAAATGTTAGCTATTCTGACCTTGTCTCAATAAATTGTACCTTTAGGAGAAACGTGGGCACCATTCTTGGTTCCTCCCTCTCTCTCATTAATTCGATGGTGAAGTCCTCAACTCCAACACCTAAATATCTATCAATCCATTTTTCTCTATCCCTGGTGCCACCACCTTAGTTTAGGGCTGCTGCCATTTCTTGCTAGGAATTGGAATCAACACAACGGCACATAACAACACAATACATCCATTTCTTGCTTAGATTACTAAACACTAGCCCAACCGAAACCAAAAAACCAAACCCACTGCCGTCGAGTCGATTCTGACTCACAGCGACCCTATAGGACAAAGTAGAACTGCCCTGCAGGGTTTCCAAGGAGCAGCTGGTGGATTCAAACTGCCGACCTTTTGATTAGCAGCCGCAGCTCTTCACCACTGCGCCACCAGAGTTTACCCGTTGACCCGTTGCCATCAAGTTGATTCTGACAAAATCCAATCCATTTTTCACATTACTATAAAAATGGTTATTTCAAAATAATTCTGAGCAAGCTATTCTTCAACTTAAAACACATCAAAGGCTCCCTGCTGCTCTTGAAACAAATTCCAAACTGTTTTAACACGATTATCAGGTTCTTTAGGACCTGACCTCTGCAACCTACCCAGCACTAACTCTTGCTCACACTGTCTTCCCTCCTCTCCAGCCATACTCAATTACTTTTAGCTCCTACACACAAAGCTTATGCACTTGCTACTCCCTTTTTCTGGAATGTCATCACTTCCTCCATCCCCTTCACCTGGTTTTGCTCCTGTCTTGTTCAGGTTTTGGTTTAGTCCTCCTCAACTGAGCTTAATGCCCTGCCAATGGTCTCCTATTGCACCCTGAGCTTACCTCCGTTGTAGCATTTATCAACAAGGCAGACAGTTCAGCGGTCAAAAATGCAAGCTTTGGAGTGGAAGAAAAAACCTTAGTACAAATCCCGACTTTACAACCCTGAGGAAGTGACTTAACCCTTCTATGTCTTGCTTTTCTCATCTGTTAAATCTGAGTATCAGAGTACCTACTTCATAAAGTCACTATGAGAATTAAACGAGACTAAGTAAATAGCCTGAAAAACAGCACATGCTCAATAAATATCATCACACTGTATTTTTCTGATACACTCCGTTACACTGTACGCTTTTTGAGGGCTTATTGTAACATCTTGATTGCCTGGTACACTGCCTAAGACATAGTAGGCGTTCAATAAATATGTGCTGAATAAATGAACCAGCAAATGAACGCAGGAATGAACCGCCATATTGGTTTACAAACCAGTCTCTGGCAAATCTGATGTGAAAGTCCCCCTGACCAGAATACTCTTATATGACCTGTTAATTACGAGATTCTGAACCTTCAAAGAAAGAAGACAAGGCAACCACAAGATCAAATCTGAATCAGCCTGGCTCCTCTCCCCAACTACATGATCAGACTGGTTTAATAAAGAAGGGCCCCTTTCCCACCTCTGGGTAAATGGTATGAAACGAGGGAAAACCTGACTGCTTCTTTACACAATCTCCCAAGCAAGACCCTTCTCCAAATTACAACTCAGTGGGTTTTAAATAGAGAATTTGAAAAACTGCAGATTTAACCTCCTAAAGCATAGGACTGATTAAATCTCAAAATGCACATTGTTTCTCGTCTACACTACTACAGGGCATTAGGGAAAAGTGTATCAAGTTAGCTCTCTTCTAGAAGGTGCACAAAAGAAGCACTTCACTTACTTATAAGCAAAATGTGGCAAAGGGTACGGAAGGAAAGGTCTGTGAATCACAGCAAAGACATACTGCACCAGGTCGAAGAGGAGGTACCGATTCGGCCTACAAAAAGAAAATACATAACTCTTCAAATGATTGGCTCCTCACAAATTTTCTTTTTTAACAAAATAACATTTGAAACACATATGCACTGTAGTAAATACAGAAGAGCAAAAAGAAAAATCACCCATAATCCCACCAGCCAAAGATAAATAAACTTAATATGTACCCTTCCTATCCCCTTACAAATGCACATTTTTTTGTTTTCATAAATACAAGATTATACAATACATTCTATTCTGGTCTTTTTCATTTAGCATACAGCATAATCATCTTTATATGGCATTAAATATTCTATTGAATGTTTAATGATTGCACATATTCCATTGCCTGTAATCATAAATCATTTTACCAATATTAAATTTTTTTCTTTTATAAAAGAATGCTCTAACGGGCATTTTTGTAGAAAATATTTGTACCTATCCATGACTGTACACTTAGGATACACTTCTACACATGGCACTGGATCAGAGTGCATTTTGAAATTTTAAGACTTTTATTGAATACTTTCAAACTGCCTGTCAAAAACGTTATATCAATGTACACAAAATGCTGTTAGGCATATCCTTCACCAGAAATGAGCTTCATCATAAAAAATAAACAATTTTGCCAATCTGCTAAGTGAAAAAGGTACCTGAAGGTTTTAATTAGCATTTCTTTAACACTAGAGATTTTTTTTTTTCTTCTTTTTTTTTGCCATTTGTAGCTTCTTTCTTGCTTTCTTCCTGGGGTCCCTGTCTCCAACAATGACTGGTAAGAATTCTTTATATTTTAATAATATAATTGGAAATATCTTTTATTTTTTGTATGCTGCCTTTTAATGTTGCTTATGGTGTTTTGTGGCATTATACAAGTTTAACCATTTTATTTAATCAAATTATCGATTTCTATTCTTTTATGGTTTGGTTTTATATTTAGAGAATCCTTCTGCAGTCGCCAGTGATATAAAGTTCCACACATTTTTGTCTAATGCTTTTAAGGTTTTTTTTAAAAACTTATTTTTGCATATAAGTTAAAGATGTATATTTTTCCCAAATGGTTAGCCAATTGCCTCAACACCTTTTACTAAATAATCTACCCTTTCCGTGTAATTTGAAACGTCACCCATATCATATACTATATTTTTACATATATGTGGGTCCCCTTCAGGACCTTCTTTTCTATTCCATTGATCTGAATACTTTTGTATCTGTACAACATAGCTTTAATTAATCAATTATCATCACATTATAATGCATTTTAATATCTCTTCACCCATTTTCCTAATCATTTTGCCTGAGGAAGTCTGGGATAGCTGAGAGCTGAATAAAGGTAATTCAGTGAGAACATCATTCTGACATTTTTCATTTAAAAAATAAAAAAAAAAAACAAGAAAATGTCAGTTAAAGGAAATATCAGACAAAGCCCTTGAATGGCTTCCTTCAAATTCCAGAATGATTTGTTAAGGGTCATTGCAGAACATATAATACATGCTATGCCAAAGAACAACTTGTAATCTTTATAATGATGTGCAATATTGACGTCATGGGTAAACTAATTATATTTATCTTGGCTCTTCCACTGCTCTAAAGCACTTTGTGCTGCATTAACTACAACTCAAAGAAGACTAATTTAAGGGACCTTGCTGACAGATAAAGGTACACTGAAGCTTGTGTCCTCCTCAGCTTGGATTTCATGGTTCAGCATTATAAGCATACCTTTGCAAATATCCTCAGCAATACCTTGTCCTTCACCTTCCTCTCCACTATACTTGCCCAGCAAAACTCCCTGTAAAAACTGAAGTGTTTGCCTTCCATCCAGGCCAGTCTCACGACTTGCACTCTGTAACCAACCTCTCTCAACTATTGAAGGATTTTGCTCCTTTGTTTTTTCCCTTATCTCCTGAATATTCAACTGCTGCCTCTATCCTGGATTATTCTTATCAATCATAAACATGCTCCACTATCTCCCTAATCCAAGGCAGACCTACTTCAGCAGCATATTCACCTTCAACTACCATCCTCTTTATCCCTTTCCTCTGCTCCCTTTTGCAGCAAAACTTCTCGAAAGAGCTACCTACCCATTGTCTCCACTTTCTCTCCTGTGACTTAAATTTCAACCCAGTCTGCCCTTTGTCCCACTGCGCCAATGAAACTATTAATTAAGGTTACCACCAATATCCACGCTGCCACTCACTCAACCTCTCAACAGCATCCAACATAGTTGCCAACTTCCTCTTGAACCAGTCTACTCCCTCTGCTCTCCTGAGGACATCCCATCTCCTGGTTTTCTTTCCAATTCAATTCACTGACTGACCTTTCCTTTTCCTTCATTTATTTTACACTATTTTGCTTGATTGTTACTTGTGTGTTTTGCCACTATTCTATAAGCAACACAAAGGCAGAAAACTTGTCCATCCTATTCACTCTTGTGGTATAATCTGTTGTTGTTAGGTGCCACTGAGTCACTTCCAACTCATAGTGACCGTATGTACAACAGAACAAAACACTGCCCAGTCCTCCGCCATCCCCACAATCATTCTTATGCTCCAGCCCACTGTTGCAGCCACTTGTCGATCCATCTCATTAACGGTCTTCCTCTTTTTTTCTGACCCTATACTTTACCAAGCATGATGTCCTTCTCCAGAGACTGGTCCCTCCTGATAACATGTCCAAAGTATGTGAGACGAAGTCTCACCATCCTCGCTTCTCAGGGGCATTCTGGCTGTACACTTTCCAAGATAGATTTGCTCGTTCTTTTGGCAGTCCATGGTATATTAAACTTTCTTCATCAACACCATAACTCAAAGGCGTCAATTCTTCTTCAGTCTTCCTTATTCACTGTCCAGCTTTCACACACATGGCTTGGGTCAGGCACACTTTAGTGCTTAAAGTGACATCTTTGCTTTTTAACACTTTAAAGAAGTCTATTGCAGCAGATTTGCCCAATGTAATGGATTGTTTGATTTCTTGACAGCAGCTTCCATGGATGTTGACTGTGGATCCAAGTAAAATGAAATCCTTGACAACTTCAATCTTTTCTGTTTATCATGATGTTGCTTATTGGCATAATTTATATACTATAAAATTCACTCATCTTAAGTGTACAATTAAATGATTTTAAGTAAATTTACTGTTGTGTAACCATCACCATAATCTAGCTTTAGAATATTTTCCATCACCCCAATAAGATCCCTCACACCCATTTATAGTTAATCCTTGTTCCAACCTCAGCCTTAAGCAACCACAAATTTACTTTCTGTCTCTATAGATTTACCTTTATAGGTTCACATGTAAATGCAATCATACAATATGTGGTCTTTTGTGTTTGATTTCTTTCACTAACCATGTTTTTAAGGTTCATCTACGTTTTTACATGGGACAGGATGACATTCCTTTTTATTGCCGAATAGTATTCCACTGTATGGGTATAACACACTGTATTTATCCATTCATCAGCAATGGGCATTAGGATTGTTTCCAATTTGGGGACTGGAATACACGTTATTATGATAATGATGCTATGAACATTCATGTGTAAGTCTTTGTGCGGACATATGTCCTCTTGGGTAAATACTTAGGAGTGGAATTGCTGAGCTCTATGGTAAATTTGAGGAGCCCTGGTGGTGCAGTGGTTAAATGCTTGGCTGCTAACCAAAAGGTCGGCAGTTTGAACCCACCAGCCACTCTGCAGAAGATGTGGCAACCTGCTTCCATAAAGATTACAACCTTAGAAATCCCATGGGACAGTTCTATTGTGTCCTATAGGGTGGCTATGAGTCAGAATCTACCAAAGGCAAAAGGCTGGGTTTTTGATTTTATGGTAAACTTAGTTAACTTTTTAAGAAACTGCCAAACTGTTTTCTAAAGTGGTACCACTTTACATCTCCAATAGCAATGTATGAGAGTGCCTGTTTTTCCACATCCTTGCTAACATTTGTTACTGTCTGTAAATGCTAAGCATTTTTCATGTGTTTTCTACCAGTTACTAGTAGCTGTCGAGTTGACTCTAACTCATAGTGATCCCATGTGTGTCAGAGTAGAACTGTGCTCCACAGGGCTTGCAATCGCTGATTTTTTGGAAGTAGATTGCCAGGTCTTTCTTTTCAGTTGACAGATGAGCATGTTAATGGTTTGCATCACCCAGAGAACACGTGCTTTCCAGCTACTAGTATATTGTTTTTGGTAAAATGTCCTTTCAAATCTTTTGTCCATTTTTTAATTGAGTTGTTTTGTCTTCTGATTATTGAGTTTTTAGAGTTTTTTGTATATTCTGGATATAAGTTCTTTATCAGATATGTACACATATTCTCTCCCAATCTCCAGTTTGCCTTTTCACTTTCTTGATAGTCGTTTGAAGCATAAAAGTTTTTAATTTTGATTAAGTCCAATTTATCAATTTTTTTTTTTTATGAACTATGCTTTTGATGTTATGGCTAAAAAATTTTTGCCTAACCCAAGGTCTAGAAGATTTTCTCATATTTTCCTTCCAAAAGTTTTATAGTTTTAACTCTTACATTAAGGTCTCTGTTACATATTTTGAGTTAGTTTTTGTATATGGTGTGTGGTAAGGGCCTAAGTTCACCCTTTTGCAAGTAGATATCCAAACACTATTTGTTGAAAAAACTATCCTTTCCCCTAATGAAGTGTCAAAACCCAACTGATCATAAAGGTTAAGGGTTTATGTTTGGACTCTCAATTCTGTTTCACTGATCTATATGTCTATTTTTACATCAGTACCACACCATCTTAATAAATGTAGCTTTAGAATAAGTTCTGAAATAAGGAAGTTTAAATCCTCCAACTTTACTCTTCTTTTTCCCAATGGTTTTGGTCATTCTGGGTCTGCAAAGCACTAACACATAAATATAGAACCAATTTGTCAATTTATGAAAAAAAAAAAACCTCACTAGAAATTTAATAAAATTGTGTTGAATCTATAGATCAGTTTGGGGAGATTTGTTATCTTAATAATATTGACTTTTCCAATCCATGAACATTTATTTAGGTCTTCTTTAATTTCTCTCAGCAATGTTACATAATTTTCAGCGTACAGTTTCTGTACTTGTATTTTATTCTTTGTGAGGCTATTGTGAATAAAATTTCTTATTTCATTTTCAGATTGTTCATTGCTAACATATAGAAACTGATTTTTATATAATGACCTTGTATCTTGTGACCTTATTGCTTATTAGTTCTAATAGTATTTTGTGTCAACAAAATGAATTAATGAGAGAACGACAGACAGAACAGACCAACATCATATAACTAATAACTACAAAAAACCTAGGAGCAAAATTAAGGTCATCTGCCTCTGCTTTAGTCTCAAAGTGTCAGGGAAATAAGCAAAGCTTTTCCCTGGGGCTGAAGACACAAAAAGGGAAGAACAGGCATATCTATAATCTTACAAGGAAAAATGCCTATACTGCCATCTCCAGTCCCACTATTCCCATCACTGTGCCAAACAAGCATGACTTACTGGAGCCTGGCAAAGAGACTAGAATGGCTGGGCAAAGATAAAGAAGAAAATGGCCAATTTATTCCAAAGCCATTTCCACTGAGTAGTAAGCAAGCAAAGTTCATAAAGCCATTTGACTCATCTATTCCTTGAAATCCTAGTCGAAGTACCTTTTAACTAGACCCTAATGTCTTTTGAGCCTAGTGGTTTAGAGAACAAACATATTTATGACTAGTTTTCCTAGAATATGTAACTGATGGTATGCTAATGTACTGAAATGGGAACTCAGAGAGATATACATCTTGCTTCAGCTAGTTGACATGGAAAAACAATACACTTTTTTGCACTGAAAAACAAATTTACTAAACTAAATTAAATAACTACAGTAAAACACAATTCAATGATGTATGGATTATTAATTCTGGGACTATATACTACCAGCATATATGCTATATTCTATATACACTGCTTCCTGGCTTATAAAGTACCATTTTCTCTAGAAGCAAGTATTTTTTAGGAATTAGGCTACCACTTAATTGTTGAATCAGATCCTCACCTTTCATAGGACATCAGGTTTCATGAGCTTATTTCACAGAATAACAGGCTTCTAGATCAATTATTAAGGGAATTTGGTACCTCTCAGTTTGGCAGACTGAGTCGTAGTTTTTGACTTTCAGTTAATTCAACAAAAAGGTT